ACCAAAACTCCATATTATGATTCTTGCAAAAAAGAAGCGAACTTTTACAACACAGCAGCAGTGGAGCTTGCTCATTGTCGCTGATTGTGATGCCGCATATCTGAAGCGTATTTGTGAGATGGTCAGAGCCTTTAATATCGAGTGTTCTGATGTGAAGCATTTAATTTATACATTGTCGACTACAACATATCGTAATATATATATATGCTTGCTTATAGGTTTCTTGGTGACATAAAAAAACGCTGAGGTATGCTATCGTAAACGGCCGGACGGATTGCAGTGACTTCTTTTAACAAGAATCGTGCATGTTTTTGTTCTATATCATGCACTTATTTCTTACACAAACTCAATGCCGTGTATATAAGATATGTTGGTATAATAATTTTCTTACTATGGGAGAACATATAATTTTATATCTGGAAAGAAGTTACTGAAGCTGGCGCGTGGAGCTGTAATAGCGCGTCCGCTTTGCAAACGGAAGACCCTAGGTTCAATTCCCGGTGTACTTTTGAATCGCCTCGTCGGGATCACGTCGACCAGACTAATTTTCGAATTACGCCAGCCCTACTCTTACAAACGCCTCGTCACCATGGTACAGAAACTAGCCACCATTTGTCAATTCTCGTGCAAGATGATTGTGTGATGGTTGCGGTGGGTCCACACCCATCTCCTCAAGCACGTCCCGTCAACCTATCTACCGCAGAAGATTTAATAGTATCTCCAACTGGTGGTTCTGCTGGGTCTGTACACATTTTTCAGTTGCCGGCGTGATCTCAGAATCCAGCCAAGCTTCGCTTTTATGCACGTACCAGAACCATAGTTCCGGCTCTGTGCTACGAGATTTGCAAGATTCAAACGACGATATGATCGTGCGGCTGCGCGCCACAGCTATGCAGAGGCTGCTTGTTATGCAGGATTCTGGGGAGGATGTGCAGAATGCCAGCGACACGCACCAAACGGGACATTTGCCAATAGCAGTGCTCCCCAGCCATCCGACGTTGAAGGCACACGTCCGAGTGTCCAAACAACCGCGGGCACACCGTCACTCCGCGCCTTGCTTTGCTCTTCCGAAATCCGTCGCAACAACGTTGAGACATCTGATCCACCGCGTGTCAAGATGCCACGGCCCTAAGCAGTGGTCGTCGAAGATATTGACGCTTTGTATGAAGCTGGTGGTGACATGAGTCAACTCGCCCATACGTGCTACCTTGTGCTCGTGATGTGATGATCATTGAGACTGGCCACACATTTCAGCGCACCGCGCCAAGCAAAATCCTCGCCTCGCTGCTCGTGGACCATGACCATGGCAACCCCGTCGTCCAGCAGCAGATTGATCAACAGCAACTGGGTCAGCTGACTAAAGCATTTGGTGGTAACGTCCGCATCAATGTGAAAACTAAAGAAGCCTACCAGATTCTCGCTGATCAGGAAGCCAAGGCTCTCGGGGGGG